TCATACGATCTCCTCCGTGTCACCATCAGACGCCCAACTCGTCATTTCCCATCTAGGTTCCACTCGAGGGCCTGAGCTGGAGTGTGATGTCCCCAAATGGTCTTCTCAGTGTATGCCCCATTCAATCCATCTCCACCTTCTTCTGCATATTTGTTGGGTGGCAGGTTACTGGTTGGTTCGTTGCTAGGCCAGAGTTCCTTGTTGCTTATTTTTTCTGGCCATCTGATCTTCAGTATCGAGTGAGCGTAGGTGGCAGCTGTTGATGTATGTCTGTAGTTTATTGGAAATGCTTTTCGTAATGCGCCAACTTAGTATCCATCAATTTTATCTGTGGGCAATCTGAGTAATTACATGCCGCTTATTGTAAGATTGCTGAAATCATCTGTACTATAAAGCTATTTCCTCGATGATTTATCAGTCACATGATCTTTTACGTTTCTAACTATAACTTGGTTATTGAAAGCAAACTGCTTTTCAAAGCATCGCAATACCAGTATTTGTTTAGCACTTACAGTCAACTGCAAAACATATGTCGTATGTAATTGTGACGTTGAAAAGTTTCCCTGCTATCATTTGATCCCGTAAGCTAGACTATTCAAAGTTCATTATCTTGTTGAATATATTTTTGTGGTGTTTTAGTACAATTTCAGTGAATCCTGTTTATATTCCGTTTATTTGGCTGGTTGTTTTCTGCATTGTTTTGAATACATCACTAGAATAGAGATGTAATATGACCATAGTTTTGCGGCTGCACTAGTGTAATACATGGTGTATGAGTTTGGCTGGGTGAAGAGTACTTGAGAATTAAGCCCATATACATCCTAATGGCATTCGACGATACTTAATTAGTAATGTTATATACAGTATTTTTTTTCCAGACTTATAGTTCGTGGATGGCTAAAAGTTTCTTTAATCACTAGTGAAAGATCGATAATATCTCAGGTTGGTATTCTTCATGGACTGACATCAGTTTGAGAAACACTGGAAACCTGGTAGCACTGGCTAGGTATTTCATCTTAGTATGGGACTCCTTAACAGTCTGCACCCATGACCTCGTCAGGAATGGAACAGAGAACCTTCAAGTTTCATGGCTAGCACATTATCATTAAGCTACTCGGTCGGAATTCAATGGTCCGTGATGAATGCCAACCTGAAATCAATAAATAAATCCCAACAAACCTCCGAATAGACTATATCTGTTTGAATTCCATGTTATAAAAGTAAATGTCACACTATTTATTTTGTTCATATTCTTATGACATTTAATTGGAAGATATTTAGATTGACCAGTCAGGTTAAGCACTTCATAAAAATCAGTATTTGTTCACCTACATTTTGTCTGGTTTTATTTCTCTCTGTGTGCGTCTTTTTACATCGTTTTGCGAATAATGGGAGAATAAATTGATGCACTTTAAAACAATTTTCTGAGTTGCGTGTGTGTGTGTAATGTAGCAGTTAGATACTTGCGAAGTACAATATGTTTAGTCAACTCATTCGAATAGTGAGTATTCAAAGGGATTTTTTCAAAATTCCCTGAAATCCTCTTTCTTTGTGTTCATCGCTTGATAAATTTGGACAAACAAACTAACTATTCAATGCTGATTCTTCAATCCCAATAGGTGTTATTGGTTTTCTTTAAAAGAATATCAAAAACGTTTTAGAATATCACTGTTTACGCGTGTTTTAATCGCCCTTATGCTTTCTTTGACTCTCAAGTGATTATTTGCTTGATGTCGGTTAGTAGTGGAGTCCGCGATGCGCATTTCTTCCTACTAGGGGCTCGTCAGCTGACTGTACCTGCTTCATACTAGTTGGTGGTGTTCCAGCTGAAACTCAAACTTAGCACCCATTACTTCAAACCCTAGGCTACTGAGTCGTGACAGACACCTCTTGTACAATGGGAATCATTCTTTCATGTTAGTCATTTTCTGTTTACTCGTATCTGTTGGCGTACAGACTCAACCAATATGCCTACTGTAGATTTATTTCAGGCTGAATATAAAGTCATCAGACTGTATTATGTGATATCTATTGGAGGCTGGGTGTTAGTGATGTTGCATGCACAAATTTTAATATTGCATTGTGATGTTGCAGTCGACGACGATACTACTGTGATGCTCATACTAAAGTGGATAAGATAAAGTTTGAACACTCAACCTTCTTGTTTAAATCCACTTGACTAGCGTTCTGCATCATAATTAAAGCTTGATACTAAGTTGTCAATGAAATTAAATCTTAGGATTTTTCTTATCCAATCATCTTCAGGTACATACTTCTCTTTGCTTATATTTTTAGATGCCAAGAACTAAGATTTCTGGGTATTGTAATTTAATAATTCTTAGCTAACTGATCTGTTTAAGCTACTGATGAAACTTTTATAATCATAATGCAGTTGAACATTAGCACAAGCTCTAAACGGATATTTTTAACCGTATATTATCAAACGTTTTGAAGTAGAACAGTGTTATGTTCTATATAATGCTAAATATTTTGATAGGGAACTCAAATTAAACTGTACCTAGTCACTGAGCACTTCTGTTTTGATGAATTAACAAAAACATACTTTGATAATAATGATGAGTAATGACTAGCAATGAAATACAGGATGCATGTCTCAAAACTAAGAAAATACAGGCAATATCGAGCCATCTCCAACTAAACAGGCGATCATTTCGTTGCAGTCGACGACGAAGATTTACAAGCTATAACATCAAAAACATATACTTCGCTTTATTTTGAAAGGATTTTCATCATCGATTGCTGTCAGCATGGGAAACATAAGCTATTGGATAATTATCCAGTGGCTGAGTACTAACGTGCTCGCCATGAGATCTGATGGCTTAGGGCTTGATTATTCACTAGGTCATTGGCGAGCACTACTGAAGAGTTACAAGCTTGGATGAAATAACTATTCTGTATATTCCTAGGATTTTAATTTTTCTCCAGCTTATGTAAATCTATGATGAAAACCTTAGTTTAGATCAATCAAAGTGACTATTCTGTTTTAGTTTTCCTGCTTACATAGTCAATGTTTATGCTAACATAGATTTGTTTTTGTAAAGTAGTACTTCTGTAGTTATCAATGTGTTTTTTTAACAGTAAAAAGAAATATATACATTTTTGAATTCAACTTCCTCTTTCTCATGATTATAAATTATATGAAATATTTTATCTTGTGATATCCCTTCATGAGATTACCTTTATTAGATTAGTTTCGAGTGACCAACCTCAGCTGCTGCTGAAGTAATCAATCAGATCTTTGTATTTCGACTATGAAGTTAGTTGTTCACAAAATACCGAACCATAATTGGCTAATCCAACAGTTGTTATGGTAGCCTTTAAAGTCACCCTAAATATCCTCAGATGAGCTTTTTCTGTTATCAGCTTGAATAAATTTCATATCGAATTGACATAAACTGAAACTCCAATGTAATCCAACTAACTTCTCACAATTTCACTTCCTCAAGGACTTAAGAGTTTATTGTATTTTCTGGAATAAAACTGAAGAGATCATAGGTCTCAAAATAGTCAGATTTTTTGTTTGTGTCACGGAATTCGGTCATTTCTTTTCAGAAACTTCCGTCTATAGTTATTTTAGAAAATACTTAGAGGGGTAAAAGTTCTCGCGTAGACACCAGTGGTAATAGAGGAGGGTTATACTATATTTTAAGTTTTCTGAGTTATAAAAGCATCAAACTTTGGATCTGATCTCTATGGTTCATTACTAGTTTGTCTAACAGTAGTTTGGAGTCACTATTGTAGGAAGGAACAACAAACTTCAATCACTAACAACTTATGTATTTAAAGCGGAATTTTTTGTTACTTCATTGTGAAATGTTTTTTTTGGATTTTATTTGCTGTTGCTCTAAAATTTGAAATCAACTCATCACATTTTATTTGTCTTAAAAGGTTTCTGCAATTGATTGTTTTACGAATTCGCCAATCTTTCTGCTGCTTTCTAGTTGATTTCATTGTTGTTTTTTTTATTTGTGATTTTTTTCCAGTTAATCTTATTCATTAATAATTTCATCATTACTGATCAGTTTTATTTTGTTGTTAACGAAATCACCGCTACTTTCTTTCATTTATCTTGTGTACTAATTGACAGTTTTGGATGGTTTATGAAACAATCAATGTAAATGCTTTTAATTGAGTTAATTGTGCTTATCGGTCATATTCACTTAGGTGGCTATTCATATCTAGTTATACATTCCATATTAGCCTGTCAGCATTACTGCACGCGTCAGGCCCTCGAGTGGAATCCCCATGGGAAGCGACGAGTTGGACGTCCGAGGGTGACATGGAGGAGGTCGTGCGAGGAAGAAATAAGAGCTTCTGGGCTGTCGTGGAACCAGGTTCAAAAGATCTCAGAGAACAGAGGTCACTGGAGACGTCCTACTGAAGCCCTATGTTCCATTAGGAACCCAAGGGACTTATAATAATAATAATAATAATTACTGCATAACGGTTGATATTGGCACATTTCAGATCACTACATCAGATGACAAGGCAATAAAATAAAAGATAGAAAAATAAGGAAGAACGTAGTCAGCATGACCAAAAGTCACGAGGAAAGAACAAAAAGGAATGAGACAGTAATGCAATCCGAGAGGATGTTTAAGATGAAGATAATATGTAAATGCATTTGTGCCTTTGAGACCTATTCTGAACCATGTCGACTAAAGTCTCCAAGCAGCGGTTTCGTTTGTTACGTGGAACCGAACCAGGAAGCCTGCCATTCCGTATATAGCTCAGGTAGTCAGTCGGAGACCCATGAATTGATGTCACGTTTTAGTCTGATCGCCTCTTACTTTTCCCCAGAATACTTCAGCTAACATTGCGAGATGTGACTAGGCATGTATATCACGTATCGCAGTTATGTGAGTCAGCTAGGGTTCACAACTTCTCATTATTCTGCTGCTTTAAGTAGTCATTACTTTAATCTCCATTCTTTTTGTTGTCTATATATAAAATTGAGTAAATTAATAACTATTTTCCAGGTTTGAACGCCGATCGACAGAACTATTGCCTGGAATGGAAGGCAAATACGTTGCTCGAGGACAGTTCGCTGAAAAGTGTATAGCTGTCCTCACAAGTGGTGGAGATGCCCAAGGAATGAATGCAGCTGTACGCGCTGTGGTTCGGATGGGAATATACTGTGGATGTCGTGTATTCTTCATTAAAGAAGGATATCAAGGTCTTGTAGACGGTGGTACAAATATTGTAGAAGCATCATGGGCTGACGTTTCCGGTATACTTCAGGCTGTAAGTGTGTATTTTCAGCGATATTTTCGTTGGCTTGTTAATATGCAGTATATACTGGATTTACTTTAAAAGAAACCAGCTTTGGTTCAATAACATGGCTGCATAAGAATAAAAAGAATGGAAACACCATAAAAATTGCCTTTGGAATGGTGATAACGTGAGGCGAACCGCAAAAATCAATTGTCTAACTGCCACTAGCGTCAGCTGCGAGTTATATTTTAGAGCGGTTCTCGGCTGGCAGTCTGCACTACCTTTTAGGTCCGTCACATGAAATCATGATGCTCAAACAAAGATACTAAGTGAGAATATTCACCATTCATTCTGTAATTGAGTGTTTGAAGTAACTTTTTCAAACTTCTTCTGGCTCTATGAGATCAAATCTTGTGTGTTAGGTGCCATGTATAGTATATTTTCATATCGGTGAATTAGGCCCATATAAAATTGATATTTGTAAATGAACTTTTCCGCACCCAAGAATTATTATTTATCCTATATTTGTACCGAATGAAAGCAATGCAATAGAGACGCTTCTGTTTTATTATCACCATAAAAGGGGAAGCACGTAAGCCTATAAACACTTTAAGCCGGTAGGAGTTGATGTGCGAATATGAGTATGGTTTTTTGACATTTATACAACCAGGTAAGTGTTTTCTGTATCATTCAGATGTTTTTGTGCTGTTTACCTCTTCAAGGGAATGTCGAACGCGATTAGTATTGCAACATGTCATAAATCTACCTACAGAGTGACTTTAAACGCCACCCTAACAAATCCTGAGATAACCAATTGAGATTCTGTATTTTATGATCAAATTACCTTTCCAGCTTAGTTTTAAAAAAACCTAATTGGTGATTTCAGTCGTTACTAGAGTGACTTTTTAAGCCACTCCTACCTCCATATTATATTTTGCTATTATCCAGACAATCACCAAATTCTTCAGCAGAAGGAAATATGGGAGGTTAGTTCAAGTAATTACACTATCTACATAATTTCACTTTTGTAACTAAATGCCAACTACTCTTTAGAGATATGGAACACATATATAAAGTAAAATGGTTAGGTATAGCTTTTAGAAAGTGCTGGAACTCGATCTGTTCTTCAAATACCTGCCTATCACAGTGTATTCACTACGTCTAAGCAGTTCATGCTGCCTGACACATATCCAAATGTTTTTTTTAAAAATAGATTAAAAATAAAATACACTGAAAGTTACCATCACTTAGTTTAGTAAACAAAAGAGTTTTGCTCAGTACTACTGACTAAATAATTGTATTGTCATAGGCTAGATGCTTTAACCACCTGTTTAGAAATTAAGCAGATAGATATTCTCATGGAGGTCTCCCCATCGTCACATGATTACACAGACGTTGATCTCATCCCAGAAGAATTTTCGTTAGACCTAGAATATGCAAATGACATAGTCCTGTTAGGTGAAGACGCTAACAAGATGCAGAGTCCTCTGAACACTTTGAGTGTCAATTTGGGAATGTTTAGGATGCGTTTCTCACCACCCAAATGCAAATTGTTGCTCCACGATTGGTCTTCAACAGTGCCACGGCTAACAATAGAGAGTGAAGTGGTTCAGTGTGTCGACCACTTCACTTATCTGGGAAGTAGGATCAGTCCTACGATGGTGGCTTCCTCAGTGGCCGATGAAATCTCTGCACGAATACAAAAGGCTTGTCTGGCTTTGCCAACTTACGCCACTTATGGCACCGCCATGATATCCGATTGTCTATTAAGGGTCGTATGTACTCAACAGCAGTCCAGTCTATTCTACTCTATGGCTATGAAACATGGCCATTGAAGGTGGAAGACATGAGAAGGCTGGCTTCATGTGTTTGACCACCATTGTCTTCGTAGTATAGGCCGTATTGCATGGTGTCACCATGTGAGTAACGCAGACGTCAGGTGTAGAGTTTTAGAGAGAGGAGGTGAGTTAGTTGAGATGGTTGTGATCCTTCATCGACTGAGATGCTTGGCTCTGACATGTGTTATGTAGACCCAGTGGCCGATTGCCTCCTCACACAATGTTGGTTGAAGTAGGTGCAGACTGGAAAAAGGCTCGACTACAACACTGCACCAATGTATGAAGTGTTTGACTGTTGATTTGAGCCATGTGGGGTGATGCAGACTAGGTGGTTGGGGTCCTTGGGACACGAGAAACCAGGGATTGGAGACTGACTCTAGATGATATGGCTCAAAATTGATGTGAGTGGCGCAGATATATGCACACATTATCCTCATCTTAACGACACTCCGAATCTTACCATTTTCTTATTCTTTCTCTTTTTTCGTACTTTATATTTCCTTTAGTATAATTGTTTTTATATCATACCTTCGCTGATTGGACCGAACTGATCGGCCTCTATTGGCATATGGGCTCCTGTACGGATGCCTCAATATTGCCTGTGTTCTAATTATATTAATGATAAATCGTGGCTAACAGAGGAATCCAGGATGCGCATTTCATCCTATTTGGATTCCACTGCTAGCCACGATCCATCATTATTATATTTATTTTGACTGAATTTTCTTATCTTCATCTTGCACCTTACTGCCTTTTTACTTGATGTACTGATATGAGGTGTGGCAACTCGGACCGTTACGCAGCAATGCCTGGTCCTATGTTGGTATTGATGATGATGAAGCAGAACAGTAGCATAGCTTTTTTTCTCTTAAAGCGTCTTAACCTTGAGTACGTAAATGGATAACATGCATTACAAGGGTATATTTCAATATAATTCCAGCTAGTTTAGAAAGCTAAAAAAAGATATTTCTGAACGTCTGTGTAAACCCCAGCTTCTTCAAGAAAATATACAGATTTTTATTGACATCAAAATCTATCGTCAACTGGTACATTAAATATGTTATTAGGATAAGATTTTTTCATTTTCATAATATTTCGAGCAAGATTGATGCTCATGATAAGAGCAACAACTGAAAATTTTATTTTACTTGTCATTAAAAATTTACTTATAATTCATCAATCTATTCGATAATGCACAAACTTTTCATCGATATACTGAACACCTATGTTGTCGTCCAAATACGCATCGGTTTATGAAAGATTTAGGTATGAGTAATTACCTCACCTAGAAGAACAGATGACTAACGGCTCTGTGTTAGACTGCATATTATGATATATAGAAGATTTCAGACAATTAAAGATTCCCATTTTATACATTAAAAGTCAAATATGAACGAAGGATATTTTTTTCAATAAGTTCTCATCAGGTTTTACAGTTATACAATCAAATTCTTTAACACATAGTAATGGCCAAAATTTGCGGCAAGTGCATTTTAGAATGGATATAGAGCTATAATTACGACTAGATTAGGTTTGTGGATGATAGTTTAACATATTTGTGTTTGTCAATTGCGGTGAGAAGTTGAATGTAAGCTTTATTTTGGTGACTAACAGTGAAATCCACAACGCGCGTCTTGTTCTATTTAGGACTCATCAGCTGAATGTACCTGCACCCCAGTGAGTGACGTTGTTCTCACTGACACTCGGACCCAGTATCCATCGTTTCAAAAGCCAAAGTGTTATTCACTAGGTAGCTGGAGCACGAGAGCCACTTCTTTAGTGTAAACTTTGTCAATTAGTTGTTGATCAGACACAGCATAGGAAAGGAATATTAATAATGAATTCCAAGGTTACATTGTGTTGAATGAGTGATTGGTACAAAGATTGACATCAACGATATGTTAACTAGAAGGGTAGAAATGGAAAGAATAAGATCGTTAAAATATGAAATGGTTTGGATAATAAGAGTAATAATAATGTGAGGAAAAGTTCAGGCGGCTTATCGATCGTCCGTGGCATAGTGGATACCGCCTCGGCCTTTGGAGCGGTGGGCACGAGGTTCGAGTGCGGCGCGGGTGTATGCAGATGACGTGTCCCAAGTAGGGGGGAATGCGCATCCTGGACTCCTCTCCTGACCCCAATGAGCCAAGGAGTAAGGAAAAAAGGCTGAGGGAATATTGTCTAGTCAGTGGAAGGCCAGTGGAGAAGTAAAGCTTGGACGTGTCCCTTCTAAATGCAAAGTTGAGGTTTATTCGATCTTATAGCCATAGCTTATGTTATATGGAGAATGCCTAAACGAATGGCTGGATGACAGTCTTTGGAATGCTATGTCACAGTAAAAGCTGTGCTAGAATCTGTTTTGGTGTCCTGTGTTTATTAGATGTATTAGTATAGAACTTCCAATATATTTGATCTCACCGTTTACAAATCAAAGTGGTAGATGATCTCGTATTCTGAGATGGACGTGTTTATATTACTTGTATTCCAGGAACATTTGAGTTGGCATGTGCATGATGATGAACTCAAATTAGATAAGGTGTCTTTAAGTCTTGGATTAAACAACTGTCGACTATTAAAGGATAGGCATAGACGTCCTAAGTAAAACGATGTGATAAAATTTCACTACGGGTATCTCCTTTAAATCGCAGATGCAGAAACAAAGGATTCTTTTTTACTCTTGTCAATTCACGTTTGTGGATGTCATAAGTGGTGTTCATCATTGAAATGAATGTTCTTCATTCATACTTGACTTTTAATATATAGGAGAGCTGAACGTGTTTGGGAGAAATGAATAAGTAGGCAGTTTACCTTGGTATAAGAAACTGAAAGATGTTTGTATTAGGTCGATATTCTCATCTGCCGAATAAAGTCATATGCTTGATGTGAAAAATGTTGTAAGATTTTTAAAGAATATTGAGTAAGTCATGCTTTGCAATACTTTTCTTTTATACGATTTAGGGTGGTACTGTGATTGGATCTGCTCGGTGCATGGACTTTCGACAGCGTGAAGGACGTTTGAAAGCTGCTGCCAATTTGGTTAAGAATGAAATCACAAATTTAGTTGTTATTGGTGGTGATGGATCACTTACTGGGGCTGATCTATTTCGTAGTGAATGGTCAGGTCTATTGGAAGAACTTGTGAATTCAAGTAAGCTCCAACATACAAAATCATCTTGTATTGATTAACTTATTAAGGTCGATGTTAACAAACTTCTACTTTCCTTGATTTGAAAGTTATTATGATATTCTACTAAGGGTACTTAGTAGCCATTCGCTTTCTAATGAGGTGTAAAGGTTGTAATATCTAATCCAGTTTTTAGTGATTGGTTTACTCTAGGGAAACTTCAAGATGGAACAAAATAAACGTTCACTGGTTTGGGATCTATTGAGTCAACTTTTTGTTGAACACTTGCTTTTGCCTGCTTTGTGGTCAACTGATTCATCTATAACTTGGTCATACTGGATAGCTGTTGTTTCACATAAGTTTGTCTTGTATTGGTATGTTAATCAGTCTGCCTATCAATTACTAGCCAAGAGAAAGTTCTTGTGGATCTATAAACGTTACAATGTTTTATTGGTTAGATTTAGACTAGATTTCTCTAGAGGGTAACCAATGTTGTATTGTCTTATTCTATGCATCTGACTGAATTCTATCTTTTAAGTTCATAATGTGATCACCATGTTAGCAGAACTGATATCACGATACATTATGCTTAATGTTAGGCAATTTGACTTGTTAATACGTTCAGTCTACACTTACTGACGGTTGGTTATACTATATATAGGGTGACGGTAACATTCCTATGCGTGGAGCTGCATTCAGTGGATCAGTTCTCTGAAGATGGAGGCATGCCTTGATGAATGGTATCAACAAACAGGAAACCTATGTCAAGAGATTCCTGTCAGTTCTGTTCAATCATCTAACATCTATGGATTTCAACCTCTGATAGACTAAACTGAAACTAATTATTGTAGTTATAGAGAGTAAATGGAGCCTGAGATAAAAGGTCTGTTGAAATATGTTTTCAAACCTCGTATTATTGTTAGTTTTCCATTTGAATTACACCATGTAGTTCAACGTACTAAAACGATGCATATGTTGGTTGGTAGAAGTCTCTTCAATGTCCAGTAACTCGGCTAAGCACAACCGGGGTAAAATTAGAAATAATGAATAGACTTGAAGGGGAAAATATATGAATTTGATAATTTACTAAATTCATCAGAAGAATGATGTATATGTTCAGCGTTTAAATCAACAGCAGAATGTCACTTCTACGCCAATGACATCAATTCTGAACCAAATCATCTAGAATCTCCAACCATCGATTTCAGTCGTCGTGCGAACCGCAGGTAAGAAGCTCACATTTTCCAACATGACTCAAACCAACAATCAGAGACTTCATAGACCGATGCCACATTTTAGTCTGAGTACCTTTGACATTCTGTCAGCTTAAAATTACTTCAGTTAAGATGCTTCAAGTATTTCCGTTTGTGTAAGCCTACAATGTCACTGTACTTTTACGATCAATAACAACGATAATTCAGAACTGGGTTTCATGGTTGTCGTCATCCAGTCACTAAACAGGAATCCAGTGGTCTCCTTTCAACATCTTCAGTCAGTTCGTGGTATAATGTGACTATTATCGTCTAGCACTTGCCGTCACTGTCTACTAGACTGATACTATGCAGATTGCACTGATTTAAAAACAGTTGTCACTTTTTCTCCTTTAGTGCACGTTATTATTTTACATGTTGAATTGGTCTGCTTGAACTGTATGCTTATACTTGTAACTATTCGAGCTGATGAACTGTTCTATGGTTCTACTACCTGTGTAGTTTTTTAAAAAATATGCAATGTCTAGTTTTCATTGGAATATTAGCCATCTGCTTATATCACTTTCTTAGCCTTACTAAATATACTTACACTTATGCTAACTGTCAGGCATTTCTCGTTTTTATCTACTATCATGTTACAGATCAAATTTCACCTGAAAGTGCAGAACGTTTCGGTCATTTGAATATAGTCGGTCTAGTTGGGAGTATTGATAATGACTTTTGCGGTACAGATATGACAATTGGCGCAGATTCAGCACTGCACAGAATTATTGAAGCAACTGATGCTATCAGTACAACAGCTAATTCACATCAACGATGTTTTATTCTTGAAGTGATGGGTAGACATTGTGGCTATCTAGCATTAGTTGCTTCAATGGCATGTGAAGCTGATTGGGTATTTATACCTGAAATGCCACCAGCTGATGATTGGCGTGAGAAATTGTGTCATAAACTTCGAATGGTAGGTCATCATTCAATAGATTTGATTTCTTATGTTTGAATTCGTTTTGACTTTTTTTTCAAAAAATTGAATCTGTTATTTGTCTGTCTAGTACAGTTTTGATTGAATAAAAATCCAATGTAAATGATGAAATCAAGACAAAAAAAGTGGGAATTCAAAGTTTGATTGCAAAAAGCTGTTCTATTCAGCAAAAGAATTAACGAAAAATGTTAAAATCAATTTTATCATTAAAAAAAACAACACTGGAAATCAGAAAGTTTCATCTAAACTTATCAAACTTTACAGTATTTACTGTTCTGAAGATTGAAACAGGTACCATCAAGCCCCCATAAATAGTTAAAAATGTTAAACTTTTCAACCTCAAGCAGATTTTGACATTGTTCAACCTTTTCTTTCTAACAACGACTAATGTTATTTTATCATGAAATTGATTGATAAATTGATTGTGTGTCAAGTGTCATCACCATCTTAATTGACTCAGAACCAATTTCTGAAGTGTGCAAACTATTTCGTTGTAGACAAATTACATTCATTTAATTCGGTCTAATTATGATTGATTAATAATTTGCACCTACCAAATGTAATATGATGCTCTAGATATGATTGATCTGCTGCAAGTACTTCAAGTTTAATGATGCAGAATGAAGGAGTGGAATGTATCGACTACTTCACTTACTTGGGGAGTTGCATCAGCCAGAATGGGCTGTTTGTTAGGGAAACCTCAGCTCAGATACAGAAAGCGCGTCCGTCAGTTGCTAACTTGCACCATCTGTTGCGCCGACTGGTGAGATATCTAACTAACTATCAAAGGAAGAGTTTAGTATCCTGCATTCCATTCTGTCTTGTTATACGCCAGTGAAAGTAGAAGACATGAAGCGGTTACAGGATTTTGATCATAGTTATCTTCGCAGCATTGCTTGCGCTTGGTGGAATCACTGTGTGAGCCGTTTTGAGGTCAGGGGAAGGGTACTAGACAAGATAGGCAAGTCGATAGATTAGATTGTGAACTTTCATTGGCTGAGATGACTTGGATATGTACTGTGCATCCCAGATCACCGCATACCTCGATGTGCTATGCGAGTGGAAGCTTGGTTAGGTTGGAAGAGGGTTTACAGTGGCCTGACCAAGACGTGGTACCATTCGACGAAGTTCCTGACTGTTAGTCAGAGCTGTATGGGAATGTATACTCTACCTGGCTGGAATACATAAGATGGTAAGAATCACTGGTTGAGGATTCTCAGTGAAATGGCTGAAAATCAGCCACAGTGACGCGGATGTATTCACTCCTTAACGTCTTCTTAATTTTGAATATCTTCACTAACCTTTAACTTCAAATTGCTTTTTCTGTCACAACTTTGTATGCTTCGATATCCCTCTTTTTTTGTTCACCGTTTTTGTATACTGGTGTAAAATATAGCAACTCGAACCAATGAAATTGTGTGCTAGGTTCTACGTTCATTCTATCCGTCTGGTTGCTTGATAAAGTATGTACACTGGTTACCAAACAGTGGACAGTGGAATACGTCTTTTCAACTGTTTCCAGACTCAGTTAGTAGAGGAAACGTAAATTGGATAGAATGGTGTATTAACGTAATCACTCCCAGTTTAAAACTAGATTGAAACTGTAGCATTTCTGCATATTTTCATAAGAAATAAAATGATGGATGAAATATTCATACAAATAACAGCTAATAAGTAAAGGTCATCAAATACAGGAGGTGAAAGTGAATCAATAGGGATAAAAATTACTATAGAGAATTTTGACACAAAAGTACAATTCAAGCTGGACCATTTGGTGTGAATAAGTTAAACTGTTACCTATTTTTAACCAAGAGATTAGTAAAATAAGTAAAGCTTCAAATATCAAACTGCGAAGAACTGCAACACCGAGATGCCTAGATATTACTTGGTTGGAGGTAAATGACAACAAGCCCCGCTTGACCTAGGTTTCGTACTTGTTCACACTCGTCAACAAGGTGTATCTGTAACCTTTAGGGAACTGATGCTCAATATTGCAGTCAGCGGTATTATGCCTGAACAACTTGTGCTACGATTCCCTTCCTGCAGGACTAGATTGATAACATTAATTCATCAGACAACAGTAACCAACTTCATGTTGTCTGGTCACGACGGTAAGCCTCCTAGTTTGGTGGCTACAGTACAAAAATGGTTGATAGAATTCATTCAGGTTTCAGGACTAAATAACATGAAATCTGTTGCTCTCCAGTGACCAGTCAGTGTACATGTAAATGTATTTCAGCCGATTTACTGTGGATAGTTAACAATAAATAGAACAGAATGGTGTGTGTATTAAGAAGAGGAACAAACAAAAAAAATTCATTATCCACTCTGTATCTTACGATTGCGCACACTTGGGTGGCACTGAAACTTTGGAAATCAATGATTTACATAAATTATTATTTTATTATATTATTAGTCCCTTGGGTTCCTAATGGAACATAGGGCTTCAGTAGCATGCCTCCATTGCACACTCTTCTCTGCAGTCTTTTGAACCTGGCTCCACGACAGCCCAGAAGCTCTCATTTCCTCCTCTCACGATCTCCTCCATGTCACCCTCGGACGCCCAACTCGTCGTTTCCCCTTTGGATTCCACTCGAGGGACTGGCGTGTGATGTCCGCAATCGGCCTTCCCAGTGTATGCCCAATCCATCTCCACTTTCTTCTGCATATTTGTTGGCCGATAGATTCTTGCTTCGTTATTTCGTCCCCAGAGTTCCTTGTTGCTTATTCTCATCATTCTGGTCATCTGATCTTCAGTATCGAGTGAGCGTAGGCGGCAGCTGTTGATGATGTATGTCTGTAGTTTGTTGGAAATGCCTTTGGTGACGCACCAAGTTTCTGAACCATATAGAAGCACTGACTTGACTGAGATTAGTGTTTAAAATGCAGATGTTGTTCATGCTTTATGCTGAGTGGAGTGCTGTAGATCTCCACACTGATTTCAGATTAGTGAAAGCCTGTCTTGCTGGCTTTCCGATCCTGGCTTTGACTTCCTCATGTGTGCCACCGCCACCTGTATTTGAAACGATGTTGCCTAGGTAGGTGTAGGTGTAGGTGTAGGTGAAAGAGACTACTTCCTTTAGGTTTCTCGCGTTGATGGTGATTGATGCTTGTTGTTGTTGCTGTTGTTGGTTGTGTATCTTCATCACTTGTGTCTTTTTTACATTCACTTGAAGTCCCGTTTTCGCTGACATGTTTCTTCTGTCAACTTGTTGGTTTTCGAGCTTGTGCAACATTAGACATAAATCATCATGGGTGGAATCCAAATCTTCTTCTGGAGTCTTTCGATCGTTCCAGACAGCGAATGCTCATCTTCTCACTTCTCCTATGGTTTGCAGCATGATGTAGTTGAGTTGACCACAATGAGGAAGGTGATCGGTGATAGTAGGCGGCAGCTTTGTCCTACTCTTGTCTTCACTTCAAAGGAGTCACTGAGCTTTCCATTATGAATCACTTGGCATGTGGCATGTTAAATTAATGGTAGAGGTAAACTGGTATAGCAGTTTTAAAAGGGGGAACTTCAATGAACTCCGCCATTACACAAGTCTTAGTTTGGGCGACTTAGTCCCTTTAGGTGGATTTACATACCGTAATAAGAAGACGGAGGTTATCTGAGGAATATGTGGTATATTTGTGCAATACACACTTCTGACAGTCTTACTAACACATTTACTTGTCAAGACATTGTAAATGATAGGTGGAAATAGAGTGGAGTAAAGCAAACAAACAAAGATAAGACAAGACTTGCAAAAAAATAAAGGCGGAATAATACATTTTCCCACACACTACCTTTGTATTAAAATCAGGTATATCGATTAACAAGGAATGTTTAAGTTAAGGACAAATTGTCTTTGAATACCTAAAGGAGGGTTGGATTTCCGTTCAGCTAAAGCTTGGATAAGCTTAAGCTATCAAGACGGTATACTCAACCAAACGAAATTTCACACCCTTTTGTATATTCAAAGACAATTTATCCTTACCTTAAACATTCCCTGGTAAGCTATATCCCACTTTAATGCAATGAGTGTGTGTGTCTATATGAAAGTGTATTATTCCTTCTTACTGTCCTCTATTTTTTTCAAATCTGGTAATGCCTTAATTTAGGCCGTGGCAGGATTCAAATTTTCGAACAACGGGTTTCCGGCCCGGTGCTCTGTCGACTGAAATAAAAATCTGGTAGACAGTCGGTTCTCGTAGATCAATTGGTAGAGCACCGGGTCAGAGACAGGGTGGTTGATGGTTCAAATCCTGCTGTGGCCTGAGTTTTTATCTCACCTTCAGTCATCACCCAGTATAAATACTAGTCTGGCAAATTACGGCTATCTCACTCAGATATTCAAAATAATAACCTTAATTTGTTTGCCTTACTCCACTCTATTTCCACCTTGCATAGTAAATGCTTTGACGAGCAAATATGTGACTTGATTGATCGAAATGTGTTTTGTGCAAATACTTCACATTTCTCAGATAACCTCCGTCTTCTTACTATATTATGTACACCTTAATTTTCTGGGTTGCGTCTTACATAATTGTCTGATCAGTAGAACAGAATTTGGATTATTTTATGGAGTAATGTATCACCGGTTTATGTGGTGGACTTTACAATAGTGTATGTAACATGTCCTATCTCTACTCTATCTAGTAATAGTTAGCAAACATATCGTTTCATTATCGTTCACACTGTACATTTTTTCTTATCGCCTAGCTCCATTCACTTTTGTGACAACACGCCATTTATGGTTTCATAAGTCATTCCCCTATTGGCTACCTTCGTACTAATCTTCTATATATGTGCAGGGAGTATCTCTCTCATATATGTTTATAATTGTAATTTTCGTCTGCGTTTCAACGGGAAATTTATCACTCACTTGGCAGGGGGGGGGGCAAGTACATCCAACTGATGTGCTTCAACTGAAACTGAATGCAGATCTTGTATTCTGCGTTCAACATCCCCTTTTGTATGCCGTGTAAACAAGCACTTTACTGTATTACAAGTTTGTATTACAAAGTTTGTTTTTTAGCTTCAGCCTATTACATAATCTGTGTTCCTTTTGATTCGTTTGCATAGTGAAATTACAAACATAGTTATGAATTTGTATTTCACGTAATTGATGTTGATTATTTCATTCGATACGGTATAAAATTGTGATCAATAAGTGGTAGAAGAATTAATTGTCTTATATAAACACGTGAACATTGAACTAAAGTCACCTGTTAAAACAACACCTTATAAAGTTTTTAAGATATGTACATGTGTATACTGTGATAGGTTTCCTAACCATATACTAGTGATTTTTTTTCATGATTTTCCATCTTTTACATACACTCCTTAAAATTTTAAGAATCGTGAATATGGCCAACGTGTTAACATCATCATGGTTGCTGAAGGTGCTATTGATAAGGATTGCAAACCGATTACCTGTGAAGATGTGAAAAATTTAATTGTCAAAGAACTTCAATTCGATACACGTATCACAGTATTGGGGCATGTACAACGTGGTGGTTCACCTTCAGCCTTTGATCGTATTCTTGGCAGTCGCATGGGTGCTGAAGCTGTACTTGCTTTAATGGATGCTGATCGTAACCGTGATCTACCAGCTTGTGTTATCAGTTTAGATGGGAATCAAGCAGTACGTGTACCACTTGTAAAGTGTGTCGACAGAGTAAGTGCTTTACATATGTATGTATATATATTCATGCTGATAAATTTATTAAATAAATGAGTAGACTATTCTTCGATTAAAGTAGCTTAAACTACCATACATCGTTGTCTGATTATCTGTGCAATCAACTAAAATGGATGAGTTTAAGGTGGTTTCTTTTAAGAGTTTACAGTATGCTTATCGATGTAATCTAGAGTATTCAGTGGATTATTACACCTACAAATGAAGCGCGTTAAGCTATTTATACCACCTTCTACATACTTTCCGTTTATATGACTGTAAACTAAAGGAGAGAAGAAAACTAGTTCAGTGCTTAGATTAATAGAATGACTATAGAACCAGGAAAACGAACTAGTTGCATACTTGCCAGTTATTTTTTCTTCAACATCTAATACAGGGATCCTGGTTGTTTAGCATCTCTGTTTTGACCTTTCTCAGATTGTATCATTGATATCACTTAATTGCTAAAGTTGGTTTGAGGCGGTGAGTAATGTCTTCCAGTCCCACTGGGGTGCAGATTCATCCAGCTGACGAGCTCAAAATAGAAAGAAACGCACGTCCTGGATTTCACTCTTAGACTCCAATCGGGTATAAAAATAGTCCTCACATAAAATCATTCATTCATTTTCTCCTTGTGGTCATTTAATTATCAATATTAGGTCAACCGGTGGACTCCATCGATCGTCTCAGGTTCCAACGATCAAACTGACCGTCTAGAATTTGTGATTTGCGATTGTATATCACCTAATAATGCCATTGTAACTTCGAATTGTGTAGTTTTCAAAGACCTACGTTGATTGAATAATAAATTTATTTTGATTTATGCGTATAAGACTTAACTTGGAATAGACTGAAATCACCTGACTTTGCCATGCTTTTCACACACTAAAAAAACTAATTACATGCACTTTCCAAAGTTAAGACACACCGGTCACAGAATATGAGAATCATTTCTGAAGTTATCTTTAATGTTTGAGTGAGTATACTATACTAGTACTGATCGCTCTTTTTCGTGCTGTAAAAGCCTAAATTTTCTAAAAGCTGACTTGACTTTCATTTATTCATCCCCAGAAATTAAGGGGTCTTAGGTGAAATAAGTATCAGGTGATGTGGGTTGTTAGTGAAATAAGTTCAAATCAAACTAATGGTAACCTACTTTTAAGCAGAATTCCTCTCGAACTTCTTATTTTCTGATTTCATATGCTACAAGAATTTCACAGCCTTCATGATAGACATAGGTAAAGGTAAACATAATAATTAAAAAGGCCTATATAAGTGCATGATTTTGACTTATCATAGTTAGGAGCAGCACAAGAGGTGAAATTCAACAATGAAAGAAGTCGAGTTTCTCTTTCCGTTGAATAGCTCTTAGGTGTAAACATTGCGTTTGGTTGAGGAGGATGAGAAAAGTTATTTACTTGAAGTCCATATTCTTTGTGTCACTCATCCCTTTAGTAGTCTGTCAGTGGAGTTACCGAATCCAACCACTGACTAATAATCCAAGCTAAGGTTATCCTAGAAGTTGGTAATGGATTCTACTTCAGATTTAATTCATCCACATAAGCCTCCAAACTGAAATATGACGTACTACCAATTAGTGATATGCTCTGAAATGGATTTATGAAAGTTCTGATGAGAGAACTCATGACCTGTGGGGTTAGTCAAGTCAGACAGGAGGAAAAATACTTTCGAATGGAATTAGATTGATGGTCACCATATTTCGCATATTGATAGGAGTAGAAAAATGTGAACTGCTAGGTTCCAATTCAGTGGATAAATAACATAACATGCTCTCCATAAGACCTGGAGATTGTGACTTCAATCCTTGGTGCAAGGTTATGGATGTGCACTGTTGAGTAGTTTCATATCAGGACAAAATAGCTGATCAGTACTCCAAGGTTTGTTTTCAATGATTCTCTAACTGATGATAGTCTGTGAAATTAATCAACCAGTTTTTGTGTACTCATCTACTATCAATTGAAATGTCAATGAATTAAGTATTTTGGTTCAAAACAATAGTAATTTTAAAGTGAGTTCAAAGTGATACACTCGATGATTAAGACGAAAACAGATCTAGGTTAAAGTAAGGCTGATTTAACATTCCACTTTTAAATATATCCATGAAAAGTTTGTACATTGTGGAATGAATTAATATATTATAAGTACATTTTTAATGTAAAGTTTATACACAAATGGTAAATTTTTATTTTGCTCAAAATATTACCTAAATAAAAACTTATCATTATGTTGTAAATTTTTCATTAAAAATTTACTTAGAATGCATCATTCCACTTTTGTTTTTTATCATAGATAAGATTATTTGACAATATAGAATAATAATACTGAATATAGATTAGTGCACGTGTTTTAATAAAGAGATATGTCAAACTTTGTTTACATTTATTGGTAGGGTAGGCAATGTTCTCCACTGACTAAATCATATATATTCATTCGTATGCATTGTGTGTATTCATATATATGGTGCGAAAAAAATGATACTTTTTTTAATGATAAAACTTTCTAATTGTTATGTACGCTGACCGATAATAGTGTCTGATTTTATCAAAATATATCAATGACTGACAATACCTTATAACTTAAAATGTTTACAAGTGTTATCATCTATTCTCGATTGTGTCAGCCGGAAATCTCTGTAAATAACAAAATTTGTGCCATAAATCATCATACCAAAGTATTTTTCATTATGAAATGGTGTTAGACATCTCTTTCGTCTTACTTCAAACTTTTTCATTGTATTTATCATCTCTTTTCGAGGTCATATCTGAAAGCCGACTGGTAAGATTTGATAAAAGTGGATTTCAGCCGCCACGATTGTAATAACATGTATCTTGTACACCAGAAACTGTTTTAAACAGAAAAATGCCTATCACTGGTCGATCTTCAACTGAATGGATCAACAGTGACTTGTAACTGAAGCCAACTGAAGATAATAGATCAAGTTTCAGAAGAATCCTAGGGTTTAATTTTATCAAAACACTTCCAGCTAGGATATATAGTCTCTGTGCAGTGCTTTTAAAAGCATGTTGTCGTATTACGACGACAATTTTCTGAGTCCTCTTCAAATATTTACCAAATGTATTCATGTTAATATTGTTGCTGACTACGCTCAAGATATCATTTTTGATTCGAAGACTAGAAACAACGCCAACTACTGAGATGGAAGTTTTTCTTTCTATGAATAGAGTTGGAAGATATGAGAAATCGTTGTATTCTCTGACTATTAACTCGATCTCAGAAGTATCTTAACTCTGTTCCACCACTTGATAAAGCCCATAGCGGCCGGTTGATGTATTGACTGGTTAACTGACTGATTAACTGAGTGGCGCATTCTTTCAAGCTGTCATAGGACAACTTGAGACTGAGTAATGAAATCAATAAGAAAAATGACAAAAAACTAAGTTACATATGTAGCAAAAGAGTTAAGTACAACAGGCCGTCCTTTCTTAGATAAAGGCAGCTGATGGATATACAATTGTCACCTTCAGAGTTTTTCTATAGACTTTCTCTGATTTTCAGTGAAGTTAATCAAACCCAACCAATAACTGCTACATTGATGTGATGCCTAGGCTTCCACACCACAGTGATCCAGTTAGCTACATTGGTTAGAACATTTGTTCCTTGAGATCCTAGCAACTAAGAAAGGTCTGTTAGATAGTAATAAGTAATAAGTAATAAGTAGTAGTAGTAATAGTAATAGTAGTAGTAGTAATAAGTGTCGGTCGTCATAGTGTTAGTATCGTATACTATAATGGCAGTTAAAGAACACGATTGAATCTCTGTTTGTTTATCTAAACAGTGTACGGAAACGAAAACTTTCAGGTTGGCTCCAATATGAAAAATGAAATCAGTCGTTGGGGCTTCAGGTGACATAGCTGAAAAGTGTTCTCAAAAGTTTTTTTCACGCAAACCAGAAATATATTCATAATATCATATCTATAATGACGAGGTTTTTAAATAAGAATGTTTGAGAATTTTGTGCAAAAATGAGGAATCTTTTATTCAGTTTTATCAGCTGTCAGTGTGAAACATCTCTAGAAGAAAAAGGCGTGCCGAGTAAGTACATCACCTTATTGAGGGTTCTCTACTCAAACACTTGTGGACGTGTTCGAGCCTATGGTATGATGTCCCGGGAGCTGTACTCATCGAGCGCTGTCTACCAAGGCTGCTCACTCTCTCCATTCTTACTCAATTTTATCATACATATTCTCATGGAGGCCTCCCCATCGTCACCTGATTACACACGTTGATATAATCCCATGAGAATTTTCGTTAGACCTAGAATATGCAAATGACATTGTCTTGTTAGGTGAAGACGCTAACAAGATGCAGAGTCCTCTGAACACTTTGAGTGTCAATTTGAAAATGTTTAGGATGCGTTTCACACCACCCAAATGCAAATTGTTACTCCACGATTGGTCTTCAACAGTGCTACGGCTAACAATAGAGAGTGAAGTGGTTCAGTGAGTCAACCACTTCATTTATCTGGGAAGTAGGATCAGCCCTACGATGGTGGCTTCCTCAGTGGCCGATGAAATCTCTGCACGAATACAAAAGGCTTGTCTGGCTTTGCCAACTTACGCCACCTATGGCACCGCCATGATATCCTATTGTCTATAAGGGTCGTATGTACTCAACAGCAGTCCAGTCTATTCTACTCTATGGCTATGAAACATGGCCATTGAAGGTGGAAGACATGAGAAGGCTGGCTTCATGTTTTTGACCACCGTTGTCTTCGTAGTATAGGCCGTATTGCGTGGTGTCACCATGTGAGTAACGCAGACGTCAGGTGTAGAGTTTTAGAGAGAGGAGGTGAGTTAGTTGAGATGGTTGTGATCCTTCATCGACTGAGATGCTTGGCTCTGACATGTGTTATGTAGACCCAGTGGCCGATTGCCTCCTCACACAATGTTGGTTGAAGTAGGTGCAGACTGGAAAAAGGCTCGACTACAACACTGCACCAATGTATGAAGTGTTTGACTGTTGATTTGAGCCATGTGGGGTGATGCAGACTAGGTGGTTGGGGTCCTTGGGACACGAGAAACCAGGGATTGGAGACTGACTCTAGATGATATGGCTCAAAATTGATGTGAGTGGCGCAGATATATGCACACATTATCCTCATCTTAACGACACTCCGAATCTTACCATTTTCTTATTCTTTCTCTTTTTTCGTACTTTATATTTCTTCTGACTGCATTCTCTTATCTTCATCTTGCGCCTCACTGCCTTTTTACTCGATGTACTGATATGAGGTGTGGCCAGTTGGACCGTTACGCAGCAATGTCTGGTCCTAGGTTGATCTGGATGTAGAAGAAAAGAAATGCACTCGGCAATTACGTAATAATTAGCTATACTTGTTATACCAGGGTTAGTGATACTACCTGGCTTTCCAAACCTTGGTGCTCAGAGCAAAGGGTTGGAACCGACTAATCATTTTTTGAAAGTTCAGTGTTTTGAACAATGAGCTACAGGTCCCTCCACATAACATCTCTGAGAATTCATCTTTTCATTACAAAGACCAGAAGAAATAAATTAGTAACATTAATTCTTGTTTTGAATACGTGTAGTGTTTTCATAGGGTACACAGTGAGACTAGGTAGAGAGGAAATATTTTCAACTTAGTATTGATAGTCAAATAACACTGACAGATGGACGATTTTTCTCTATGCTTGCTACCCCAAAATCCCTTGGTTCATGTATTCTTATAACAATAAAGACGATCAGAGTTTGGTTTTTACTTTGTTGTTGATTTAAAGAGTACAATTTACGATTCAAGATTAGAAGTCTTGACTTTTGAAATATTAAAGAAATATGTCAAAATATATTAGCTGTTGGTATGATATGTTAAGGAGATTAACAAGGAATGTCGATGCAATTTATTGTAAAAATATTCAGTTTTCTGAAGGTAGTTGTTGATTTACAATCGACACAGATGCCAATGCATTCATTCTTTAAAAATAATATCAATTTGGAGGTTTGTGGGGGTTGATTTACAGATTTCAGGTTGATATTCATCACGGATTGAGATCAATTGGAGAATTACTGGAAACCTGGGAACACTGGACGGCTGTTTCGTCTTAGTATGGGACTCCTCAGCACTGCTCACTCATTACCCGGTTAGGAATCCCCACAAACCTTCAAAATGAATTACTCCCTAGTCCTCACTGGTCACTTGCTTCGAGATGAGATTCCTGAAGTTATAATGAGAAGTCTCAAACGGTGGGGTGAAACAAGTCACACGTGAAGACAGTTATTCAACGACAACATTAAATAGTGGTCACCCTACATCAAGAAGTTCCAGATATGGGAGTATGTGGACCCTTGGACTGCAACCTATTGGCTCAATGTTAAGGTGCTGGCTGCGGAACCTGAAAGTCATGGGCTCAAGCCACCGTGGGATCATGGTTCCACACTGCTGAAGAGTCTCATACTAGGGCGAAATAGCTATCCAGTGCTCCCAGGTTTCCAATGGTTCTCACACTGATTTCAACCCATGATAAAAATTAACCTGAAAAATTATATTGACACATGAATACGAGTTCAGTGCAACCTTTATTTTTCAGTTGCTGCAACTTAAATTATATTTCATAGAACCTTCGGAGTGCATTTTGTAGCTTTGTTGTTGTGGATGAGCAATACACAATACCCATATATATCCCTCATTCCTATTTTGTTTTCTGCTAGACACGTAAAGTTGCTGAAGCAATGAAAAACTTTGATTTTGATCATGCAGTTGAACTACGTGGCACGTAAGTCTTTCATTTTCAGTATACATTCAATACTGTTATTCAGTCAGTTATAAAGATTTTCTTTTTAAAAATTACTTTACATAAACTCAGTAATCTATCAATGCTATCAGCTTCTAATCAGTAACATTAAGTGATTAAATTCATACTCATAGGTTTTACTTGGGTGTTAGATATTAGGAATCAACTGATGATAAGCTTGAAACCTAAACCCAGAATTTAACACCAAAATACAATGCACCATAGTATTATCTCGTTTACCTTAATGGTTGCATTTGTCAGTTCTGAATGCTGAGGACTAGACAACTATATCAATTACCTAAAAGTGATCCAGTTTGTGGAAATATTACTCTACTAATGAGAACATGAGCTGTCTTAGGTGAAAATTTAGGTTGGCTACATTCTCTGTACTAGATTTTAAATTAAGCTGTGTATCATAATTTAGTTGAAGTTGGAAATTTTAGTCACCACAAATCAGTACAATAACTCACTGGCTCCCTGAACTTAAGACACTGAGATCCAACAAGCGATCATCAGTATATGTTGTGAACTGATGGTGAAATAAAACTATTCAGCTGTTCTTAGAACAAATAGCTCAAACATCTATCTAGTGGATGTTCATATCTCTACACTACTGCTGTGGAAAAAAAAGGAGGACTGAGTAAATATTTGTTCCAACTTTATAACTTCTTGATGATGAACACTGAATGATTGACGTTCTGAGGTAGAATCATAAACAGTAACTTTAAAATTCTAACTGACAAACTCTCTACAGTGGTCTTAATACACTTACCGCCTAGGAATTTACATCGAATTCTGATTGTTCTGATCACGTCGAACATACGCATGATATGCCCATGGTGAATTTCTTGTGGGTTTTTTAATTTTGATTCATACTGATTTAATGGGTACTTGGGTATACTAAACATTTTGAATGTGAGGCTGGTATCACTCCTACTTGTCACACTGTCATCGAGGTTTTGTAGAAATCAGCCTTAAATAGGGATTTTTGTGTGTTTGGCTAAATTACTAAGTGAAACATTGTGCCAAACGATTTCATTTGACTGAAATGACTATAGATTTGGCATTTATTGTGAAAATATTAAATTTTGGTGCCTAATTTGAATGTAGACATGCGACACTTCACTGATACAATCAATAATTGTAGTGACTTTTTTCATGGGCAGATGAATAACAATAAAAAGCACAAAATTCAGTCAGATTCGTGAATTAATTGATGGTAATCATATCTTCTGTTTACACCTTAAAGCTTACCAACCAGTTGAGTAACAATGCCATTAAACCTAAGCGAGTCAATATAGTTGCATGCATTTTTCAGCGTTAGATTTTCGGAGTTGATCAAGAGGAAGTTTAGAACTAGGCTGCCACCTCGCTTATTATTTAGTGACTGATTTATTATATCTAGTCCAGTCTTGCAAAACGTCTGTGTGACCTTAATGGGTTAGATTGGGATTGAATGACGGAGGTTAGAATTCTTGAGGGAAATTAAGTTTCCTTGAAATTGAACAGACGCTATACTGACGACTACCAGCCAGCATAAGATCTTTGTTGAGCACGGCTCATTGTCAATTAACTCCGATCATTTAACGTATATTCGCTATCGTCTTGAAATGACATCAGTAAACACGCACACACACATACGACTAGGTGTGATATAATAGTTAAGTGATCAAAACACGCACTTTCAAACAACGAAGGCACGTTTTAAACCTTTTTCACTAACCTGAGTCTGGTAAACTAAAATGGTTACAGTTTTAGTGTATCAATTTGTCGTCATAGTATTTCCGATTGGCATCTACCATATATTATCTCTTAATTTAAGTGTCGTCCTGGTTTTATAAACCATGGTCATGTGACCATCTCTCTTTGGGTGAGTTAATATCAATTATTTTATGTGGATGTGTGGATTGACTCTAAAGGCAACCTTAGCAACAACCGAAATAACCAATTAAACTTATCTATTTTACGAAAATCTGTCTTTCCAGCTGAAATAGATAAACATAATTACCCATTTCAATCGTTGCTAGGACGGCCTCGCTTAGATATGTACATACGCCACACATCCTAGCCGTGAATATTTGCTTTCCGGTGCATGAAAGTTGCTCAGTGTTTGAAACTGACATAAAAGTTGCCAGTGAATAGAGATATGTATAAAATATAAAGCTATTCATCAATTCGATAAATGCATATACACTATAATATTGACTGATCACTGAAGAGTAACCAATTTCATATTGTTCAGTTGACAATGTTGGCCAAACTTTAAACATCATTCAACGTTATGGCCACCAAACTAGGAGGCTCACCAACAGGGTACACTTAGGTGGATGTTAGTTGGTTGGAGGAGATTTGCAGTAAGCTCCTATACCTAGGTTTTCTGCTTGTTGACACTTGTCAGCAAGGCGTATCTGCAACCATTAGGCAACTGATATCTCCTATGCATCGTGATGATGATTATCATAGCCTGGTGAATACTTTACAAGATGATCACTTCAATTTGATCCGCACTCAGAAACACATAACATAGAATTACTGACTTTTCAATGACAAATCGATGCACTTAATAATCCACTCCTAGGGGGGAGGTCAATCGCTGTCTGAATAACTCAGTGGCAACGTCTCTCATTGCAACACTGGGTGACACGGGTTCGTACCTCGACATGTACATCAGTTGTCTCAAGGTTGCAAAAAAATCTGGCTGACGAGTGTCAGCAAGCATGAAATCTAGGTCAAGCGGGGCTTTTTGTCGATTGCCTCCAGTCAGCTAACATACAGACCATATAAACCATTTTGATATGCCCACTGATATCATTGTGGAAATATTCACAACTTCCTTTTATTCAGCACTTGTTTTAAAGTTAGACGAGAAAAATACTTGGGAAAAATCTTACTAGGTTGCTAACGTGAGGTGTAGTGGCTTGGACTGTTATGCGATACTTTCACGTACCAGATAGACAGATAAGAGAGGCATAAGAAACATGGAACTTCGCTCAGAAGTGGATCGATTCAAGTTGTCACACTTTTCTGTCCCATAATAGGATTAACTGCTTGTCTGAATGACTAAACTGTTATGATCAGTTATTTGATAATTACAAAGAAAAGGATTTAAAAAGCATAAAGACCAAAAAAAACCTTAATTGTCAGTTACTACTTCATTCTACTGAAACTTCACTGTGATATCGATCTGGAAAGCATACTGAGGCGCAATAGTTTCACACCATATTGATTAGTTGATATTTTTAACTAGAAGTTATTTCCCAGGAAAGTATTCTACTTGATTTTTTGTGTTTGATACACTACAAACTTGAATGCCATAGGATTTTTAGGCAATCCTTACTTGAAATATCATTGATAAGTTGCAGACAGTGTAGACAACCTAGTAAGATTTTCCACAGGTATTTTTCACGTCTAACCTTAAAACAAGTGACTGAATAAAAGGAAGTTGTGAATATTTCCACAATGATATCGGTTATTATTGTTCCCTTGGGTTCTTAGTGGAACATAGGGCTTCAGTAGCATGCCTCCATTGCACTCTCTTCTCTGCAGTCTTTTGAAACTCGCTCCAAGACTGCCCACAAGCTTTCATTTCTTTCTCGCATGATCTCTTCCTTGTCACCCTCGGATGCCCAACTCGTCGTTTCCCCTTTGGATTCCACTCGAGGGACTGACGTGTGATGTCCCCAATCGGCCTTCCCAGTGTATGCCCAATCCATCTCCACTTTCTTCTGCATATTTGTTGGCCGATAGATTCTTGCTTCGTTATTTCGTTCCCAGAGTTCCTTGTTGCTTATTCTTATTATTCTGGTCATCTGATCTTCAGTATCGAGTGAGCGTAGGCGGCAGCTGTTGATGATGTATGTCTGTAGTTTGTTGGAAATGCCTTTGGTGACGCACCAAGTTTCTGAACCATATAGAAGCACTGACTTGACTGAGATTAGTGTTTAAAATGCAGATGTTGTTCATGCTTTATGCTGAGTGGAGTGCCGTAGATCTCCACACTGATTTCAGATTAGTGAAAGCCTGTCTTGCTGGCTTTCCGATCCTGGCTTTGACTTCCTCATGTGTGCCACCGCCACCTGTATTTGAAACGATGTTGCCTAGGTAGGTGTAGGTGTAGGTGTAGGTGTAGGTGTAGGTGTAGGTGAAAGAGACTACTTCCTTTAGGTTTCTCGCGTTGATGGTGATTGATGCTTGTTGTTGTTGCTGTTGTTGGTTGTGTATCTTCATCACTTGTGTCTTTTTTACATTCACTTGAAGTCCCGTTTTCGCTGACATGTTTCTTCTGTCAACTTGTTGGTTTTCGAGCTTGTGCAACATTAGACATAAATCATCATGGGTGGAATCCAAATCTTCTTCTGGAGTCTTTCGATCGTTCCAGACAGCGAATGCTCATCTTCTCACTTCTCCTATGGTTTGCAGCATGATGTAGTTGAGTTGACCACAATGAGGAAGGTGATCGGTGATAGTAGGCGGCAGCCTTGTCTTGGCTTGTAGCGTCTTCATATAGCTGTTGAATGAGGTTGATATAGGTTTGTGGCACTCCGTAGTGTTGAAGCAGCTGCCTGACAAATTACTTCTCTGTCGATGCTGTCGAAGACTTTTCCAGAGTCGATGAAGTTGAGGTAGAGGGTTGACTGCCATTCTATGCTCTGTTCTATGATGATGCGTAGTCTAACAAATTGATCCGCACATGATTTGTTCTTCCTGAAACCAGCCAGCCTGTTCTGGCAGTAATTTTGAATCCAGCGGATTGTTTAATCTCTCCAGGATGATACGGCATAATATTTTGCTTGAGGTGGACAGGAGCATGATTCCTCACCAGTTCTTGCAAAGACTTAGGTCTCCCTTCTTCGGCAGTTTGGCAAGGTAGCCCTTCTTCCAATCAATTTGCAGGTACCTTTTCTTCCTTCCAAACCTTCTGCAGTAGTGGTGTGAGCATGTCCGCTGTTGTCTCTGCGTCTGGAATTTCATCAGGTTCTACTGCTTTCCCGGATCTACGCAACTTTATGGAGTTCAGGACTTCTGATTTTGTCGGAGGACTTATGTTTGCTTGTAGTTCTGCGGTTGCTGGTAGTATTTCTGGACGAGTTGCAAGTGGTGATGGTGGTCGATTCAGGAGTTTTTTGAAGCAGTCAGCCCATCGGCTCCTTTGTTTCTCCTCTTTGCTAACTAGATTTCCTTCATCATCTTTTATTGGTTTCATCTGTGTTGATCTCTACCCTCCCCAGATAGTAACCTGGTTATTTGATACAATGTTGTCAGGTCTCTGTCTCTCCTACCTGCAGCTTGTTCTGCTTCACTTGCCAGTGTGTCGTAGAAGTTTCATTTTTTTGCGCGCACTCTTCTTCACTTCTTTGTGTTCGTCGAGATCCAATCCTTGTCTTGTTTTCTCTTCCTTCTTAATACGGTTATGCAGGTTTCTTTCCACACAGCTTTCAAAGAGTTCCAGTGTCCTTCTACACCCGATCCTTCAAGAATAATGATATCAGTAGGCATATCAAAATGGTTTATATGGTCTGTATGTTAGCTGACTGGAGGCAATCGACAAAAAGCCCCGCTTGACCTAGATTTCATGCTTGCTGACACTCGTCAGCCAGATTTTTTTGCAACCTTGAGACAACTGATGTACATGTCGAGGTACGAACCCGTGTCACCCAGTGTTGCAATGAGAGACGTTGCCACTGAGTTATTCAGACAGCGATTGACCTCCCCCCTAGGAGTGGATTATTAAGTGCATCGATTTGTCATTGAAAAGTCAGTAATTCTATGTTATGTGTTTCTGAGTGCGGATCAAATTGTAGTTATAATTTTGTAATTTGGTCACAGAATGTCGCTTGAGCTTATAAGACGTTGTTCACCTTCATCCATGTATACCAGCTGAAACATTGATGATATTTTAGGCATATTTCTTAAGATTGGCCCTATTTAAAATACAATGTCACGCAGTTTTTATAACATGTAGTATACATAGAAAGATTGTTAGCTTAAGTTTCGATGGATTCGTGTTGCTAACATCTATTTCTACACATTTATTGACTGATAACTCGAAAGGCTGTAGGTAACTTTAGCAAACTGAGTAGAGTAGAAAGAGAAGTGATGATAAATCATCAGCTGCCTGACCTTCGCTGTGAATACAAATTGTGGATAGTGTCTATAAACATGTTTACTTCGTTCTCGAGTGTTGGGAAATATAACTTTTCCCTAGGAAACCTCTTACTATATGTCCAGTAGTATTGTTTTTATCTTGGTGAGTCGTAGTGACATCCAGGATGCGTGTTTCATCCTATTTGGGACTGTTCAGTTGGATGTGCATACACCCTAATGAGTGTTGTTCCCACTGAGACTCGAACCCAGTACCCATTGCTTTCATTTTAGCATCATTTCTGTTGATTAACTTTCTGTTCATAATTAGATTTTATTTGACTTCATTTATTCTTAGTAGGCCGATTAAGTATCGCATCAATCTTGTACTAAATGCAATAAACATCATATATTGTTCTTTAACTCACCGACTCATGAATTCCTCAGCGTTTGTCCATCTTTTATTTTATTCTCAGTTATGAATAGTTGGGATTAGGGAGAACTACTCAACGCTATTGATGATCACACTATCACAGTCCTTGATTAATAGTCATTAGAAATTGATTGCGCATTTTTGTGAGGTCTCTTGGTCAACCTTTTTAACAGTTTTGCATGCAGGCTAGTTCACAGACCCGATCTGAGATAATACTGCCTCCCATCTTTCATTGGTTTTAGTTTTCAATAGGCGACATCTTGAAATATACGGAATAGTCATGAGATATCAATTTCTCGATCATTATACCTGATATTTTAATTTTCTGAGTGAAAGCCTAGTTGTTTCAAGTTTAACTATATTGTCTGGAAGATATATGTCATGCAAAATGTATTAAAACTTTCTCAGTTCGCTGACAAATAATCCAAGTTCAAGGTATCACTGTTTTTGATTAGCTGGTATCTTGCCTTATCTGTTTTTTCTGATATAAATCTCAGTTTAGGCTGCCTGGAAGTATTGCCAGCACAATTTTCTTCTGTGCACCGACAGCGGTTTCTAAATTGACAATGAAATATCTTTTGTTCAGGAGTATCAAGGTCCTAGATCAATTTACCATATATTTGTCGCTTTCTGTTATACAGATAGCCCCGGCTACTGCTGCATATGTTTAGTAGAATGCACATGGTACTTAAAAATAAAAATAAGATCCTATACTTCAGACTCTTGGCTGTCATCCCATGGGTTATGTGTTCGAACCACGCTGTGTGTAATACTGTGTGGATAGTCGGGTAGTACTTTTTAGCACACTTACAATGTTCTTCACCCACAGCTTTTGTTGCTAAAGTATATGATAACTTGAAGTAGTACTGTGTTGAGTGAGTTTATTCACTGTCTGGATATCTATTCTCACAAAATTTAACACACACTGGGGAAGTGAATAATGGTTTATTTTCATCTCTTTAGTGACAGAATACGCACCGAAGTTCAGTCAGAAAGTTTATTAAACTAGTCGGAATCTGTAAGTTGGACATACAAGAATAAGTAAGGTTATAATATATCTAAACTGGCGGATATTACTAACCACTTTCTTATTTCACCGACCCCAAAGTAAAAAATTCTTGACATAAGTGCGACAGACAGTAATAAAACACCTCAAGGGTAAGCACTGGATCATCAGTCGTTATAAAAACGTCTCGGCGGTACAAACTATTCAGCATTCTGTCCCTAAGAAGGACGTTTGCATCTCGCTACCATATAAGCCGGAATCGAATAGCATGATCTTAAGACCTAGGCTTTATTCACTTATTAAAAAGACATACTATGCAGCCAAGCTCAATACTATAAGAAACGAGACCTATGCTTCAAAATAAACCTCATCACTACATAGATGATTACGTTACATCCCGCTGTGCATACCAATTTACCTGTATATGCTGTGGTACACGTTAAGAGGAGTAATCGACCTATGATGTCGAAGGTGGTGAAGCATATCCCTAGATGGTTAGAATTACATTCAAAATTACATTCAAATAATCCAATAAATACAGAGGGCAGACAGACGTTATCCTCTGTAGATGAACATATTATAGAAACAAGTCAGAGGATTGAATCCAAAATAGCCTTTAGACCATTACGTAGGAGCCGTCAAGACCGTATAGATAGGTTCATTGAAGCCCTAACTATACGAAAGCTCAACCCCCCTTTGTATGTTCAAAACAATATGTCCTTATCTTGAGCCGTCCTTCGTAATCTTTATCTCATTCTAATGCCAAGGGAGGTATGAAAATATATTGTTCCTCCTTATTATCCCTATATTTTCCAAATCTTGTGTTATCTTAATCCCTTGACGAGTAAATATGTGGCCAGACTGTTCAAAATGTATTGGGCAAATACATCACACATCACCCAGCAGATAATTTCCGTCTTCTGATTGCATTATGCAAATTCATGATATTGAAACCAAACCAAAGGGTTCAGATAGTGTGATACTGTATAAAGAAGATTATATCATTAAGCAAGCCATTATGTGAGACTAGCCAAAATTACAAAACTGCTAATTAATTACCTGTTGTCTTTATACAAGTTGAGATAATTTATTTTGCAACATTTACACTATTTCATCACAACTAGTACTAAATCCCAAATAAAAAGTCCCAATCTACTCACAATGATATTTAGTAGGTGGAAACTTGGAATATAACAAAACAGTTTCACTTTATGAGGCTGCTTTTGAAAGTTAGTGTAGCTTTGCTGTATGTTTGTAATTTCAGCATCATTAGTATAACTTTTATTGCTAATAATTAGTTTCTTGATCTCTATATTCCCCATTTTATATAGTTTTTATTTATTCATACGATATTTGAATTTATTCCTGCTTTACAGGAGTTTCATGAACAATTTGTCCACATATATAAAACTTTCTAAAATTGAACGACCACGTCAAAGTACCCGGGTAAGATGTATTAATGGAACTTCATTTCTTGTTCCTACCTTTTCCTCTTCGTCTGTTGCTCATGATGACTCTCAAATAGGTTTTGTAACATTTTTCATCCACTCACACACACACATCATGTCTAATAAAACAGACAGCAGAACGAATAGGTAGATGCCTGTTTATTTGAATATGAATATGCTCCTGATATGTAAAGATAAATAGTCCCATCCAGCTAATGCGAAACAAATTCAACTGGATTCCAGCCAGCGACCCATTAGTCGTTAGCAGGTGAAATCTGGCGATAATAAGTTACAACTATACAAATTGAAGACTTAAATGTTATCTAAAGGGGTAAAACTATTAGTTCTCAATAACACAGTGTTGCTAAAAACAACCACTGCACAAGTGATGGCTCTTGTGACCCAGATGCCTAGTGGATAACACTTTGGTGTTTAAAGAGATGGGCACCGGTTCCAAGTCTCAGTGGAAACAACATAACTCACTAGAGTGTAGATACATCCATCTGACGACTCCTAAATAGGACGAAACGTACGTCCTGGATTCCACTGATAGCCATCAAATAGACTACATCTTTGTTCCTGACTCATTGAGTAATGCAACTCCCTCTGACGATGAATACCATTCACCGACCACTCAAAGCTGTTTTAAACCATCAAATCAAAAATTAGTTTTGATGTCAGTCAGTGGATGTATTGTTTATATTACGCTGAATAATATACATATATTCATATATGTGTTTTGCAGTCAAGTGAAGTAAGTTGTGACTTATTGAAGTTGTGGTTTCTACCTTTTCCTCTTTGTGTAACATACGCTTTGTTGTAAACATGACTGTGTATATGCTCGTATTGATTTAAATATTGGTGAAGGCATGATCTCATACGTCTTTATCAATCATTTATTACCCATATGCTTATTATCACACTGTCTTTTCTCTGTGCATCATCTGAGCAGCTTTACTTACGAATATGTTAAGCCTAAACACTGCTTTTCATGTGAATCACAATTTCTATAACCACGTCTGTAAAACCTTATAAAGAGTTCCTTCCAATTTGGATTGAATCAATTATTACTTCCCAGGGATGTTGAGTGTTTCAAAATACATTTTATGTGACCGAATAGCTTCAGTGTGACAAGAAAATTGATTGTGTAGCACTCAAAGACAAAGTAAGCTGAAAGTATCTCGTGCCAAATAACAAGATGACTGAAATTTGGCAATATTCAGTATTGATTTATATGTTTGATGTTAAGACCTCCAATGTGGTCGTGTTTTGTAATTGGTTGTGATTGCAGTAAATTTCATTCCTTAATCTCCACTGACTTCTAAAATAATATTAGATCATCTAAAGTATCTTCAAATCTAGATTAGATGAAAATGGCGCTTAGTTGTTGCCATTTATTAGTTATTGTTACGATCAAGCGATGTATAATCATATAAATTCGACTGAATGATGCTGAATTAGACTGTGATCTTGACATCTAGCTGGTTCAATGTCCTACTGGTTAGCCTCCATACTATATGATCCCCCTGGCAGTCATGGTTAAGTGATGGAAGTTGGGATCACCGAGGAAACACCAGTTTCCTCATGGCTGCAGATACCCTATGTCTATAAATAAGTGACACCAAGTCGGGTTTACTACCGATTGACTCACACCACTGAATAAACGGTTCCAAAGTAATTTTAGTTATGCAGCAAGAATCATCAGTTTTTCAGAATTATTTGGCTTATGTATAAGTTATGCGATTATGTCAAGTCTGATGGAAATCTTTGCACTGTGATTACTCAACTAAAGTGACATAATGCTGTGGCACACTTTATTCATTATTAGATATATTTAATCAGTGGGAATGTATAGATAATTCCAACAGTAGAGAAGTTTAACAGATTCATAGTAAAGACTACTAATCATGTCAGAGTAAACTTTAAAAGATACCTCACTATATGACTTTATTGTTCGAACCGTGAGACGACAATAGATTTCGAATAGAGTGAACAACTTAGCGATCAACAGCATTTATTGCTTAGATCATCCTGGTTTAACTGTGTTAGTCTATAGGCTATATTCCAGGAAGGTACTTGTTGTAGCCTCACTGTGAACGAGTAAACTTACTTATATGGAGATCAACTGTTCCAGTCTGAATATAATCAAGGATTCTTTCATTCTTTGCATTAAGATTTCATAATCTGAGGATCAAACTTATGATATATAAGATGAGGAATAGAATGAAAGCCACTTATGAGTCTATTTGATAACCCTAATTAAGACTTATCAAATGAATATATTTGAGTCTGAGTAAGCGTTGTTGCTCCGATTTGAAGCTTTATGTGACAGTCATAGGGTCAAACATCAGTGTCATACGCTACAGTGTTGTTGATATTTGGTTTAGGATTCCACCTTCACTGCTGATAAATTTACACAACCGAATTATTCACAGTGTGTTAGCATACGGGCTTCTTGAGCAGAGACTGGTTAATTCATTGCTGCAAACTTGGTAACGCGAAAGAATCCCATCGAAATATTAAGGTTTAGGATCAATTTTTCTTTTTATTTCTAATGATAACATTTTGTTTCTACCTATCTTCGTTTATATTCACGCATGCATCCTCTTCCTACTTTTATATATATACATATGAATGCATTTATTTTTCCACACCGGCATATATATATATATATATATATATATATATATATATATATATATATATATATATAATCTCATCACGAAACATGCATACAATGTAACATTCTGTATGTAAATATCTCACCTGATTTTAGTCACCATCATTATTATTATCATCATCATTATCATCACTGTTCTGGTCATGTGTATCATCCCTATTTTAACTTTGTATCCATCTTTTCTTCATAAAGGGTTTTCAACCACTGACTGACATCAACTAGAGAAAGTTATTAAAAACCTTGAAGCACTGGATACTTGTTTCGTCTTAGTACGGGATTTCTCAGTAGTGTTCACTGATAATCCAGAGAAGGATTAAACCCAGAACCATCAAGTGCCACTGTGAGCACGTTAATCCTCAGTCACTGGGTTGGAAGCCAATAGGTGCGCACCGCTGGGTAATCTCAAAATGTGATGAAATGCTTATTCAGTGCTTTAGGATTTCTAACGGTTCTCCATCTAATGTCAGTCTGTGGTAATAGAAAAACCTTGAAATCAATCATCCCTTTCGTCCCCTGCAAAACTTGTGATTAAATCATCTTTTTGGTTCAAAGAGTGTAGATGTTTTGTTGTTTCAACTGATAACTAAACAATCATCACTTGATGAACGTTTACATTTTTTTAAGTGGTTTGGGGTCAAATAATGTAGAGGGAGACACATACAATTAATCTTCCATTTTTTCATGATGTCATTTACTGCCTCATTTAATAATTTCAGGATGCCTATTTGTCAATATTATCATGAATTTATCATTACCATAATGATCAACAGCTGACTGGAAAAAGATTTCATGATAACGGTAACGAAAACAGTTCAATAAGTATTAATACGATAGCGACTATCTTACTTTTGTGTTCACTTGGTTGATTTGATAACAGTTATTCATGAATTAACTATGAAAATGAATTATTCCACCTTTGAATATAATGTTATATTTATATGATTATCTTTTAACTATCTGAGATAGCCGTGGTTTGGCAGACTAATATTTATACTGGCCGCTGGTCTGAATCCGGCCGCGGTCCAAATTTTCATTTCACCTTCAGTCATCACCCAGTCTTTATACATAACTTAAATGACAGTTTTGTCATCAGTTGAGATAGTTGTTTTGAAAGTAGTAGTCCTAACTCAGTATTTTCTGAGGATATATACTCATCACTGGAGGACAACGAACTTAATTTGTTATCTAATCCTATGTGTTGACGGAGTTCTATCGATGATTTTGCAATGTTAATCACTGGGTTCAACATCACGATGCACTTTGATAGGTATCAGTCGGATGGAGGCAATTGAGAGGAAGCCCACTTGACCGAGGTTTCGTGCTTTTTAACATTTGTCAGCAAGGCTTATCTGCAACCTGTACGGATATGATATCCCACCTGAGACTCGAGTCTGTCACCCAGTGATTTCGTCAGAGACGTTATCACTAGGCCATTTGGGCACACATTCAATGTAGAGCAGATTGTGTGAACACGTTCATTTGTAACTAACTCCGAAAAAACCATTTGTACTATGTTACAAGTGTGAATGGCGTAGAATGGAGTAGGAATCCACTTGAATATAGACTGAACAGAAATCTATTGAACGATGGCAAAAAAACGGGATGATAAAAGCAAACAGCAATCAGTTACACATCTGTTTACACTCTGCCAACTTGCCGTTCAATAAATAAATGATCTTGGCAGACATTTGTAATCACGATTATTGACATTACTTCATCACAATTATGTTCATAGCTGTTTATATGATTTCTTATCATTTTCCTAATGAATGTTTAAGCATTACTTGAATGATTGATATCGCATGTTACTTTGTGTAATATGTTGATCGGTTTATGTGAACAGCATCCAAGGACATTTTAATTTGATACCTTGTAAGTATCGATCAAAACATTTTGTGGCATTACAGAAGTTGACTTTTGCACAGTTTGTCTTCAGTATTTCGATTGTTATCATGGTTATTTTGCATGTAAAAACTGATCACGATTTTTAGTGATTTCATTACTTGATGAGTCAAATACGCTTAGTGCAGAAATGACCATCATCCACTGAACTAGGAGTTAACAGCAAAACTTGTGTGGTGTTAGAACGCATAGTGCTCCTCACTAGTGTGAACATTGATTGTTGATACAACCGGCTGGATTTAAGCCTACACCTAAATCTGAAATTGTTATTCACCTGATCAATGACTATTAGGACCGCTGTGGGTACAGAATATTTTTTTAGTTTTCATTCTTAGACACGGATTCACTTGGTGAACATTCTTTTTTTCTTCCGAAGAATGAAACGAACAATAATACCAAAACTATAAGATGAGCTAGCTAATATAATGTGGTACACCTAATTGAATTGTGTATGCGTTTTGCTTTTTAAATACTTAGTTTTGTGAGTATACACAGAGTATGAGATATTTCTATCATTTCACCTTTTAACCTAAAACCGGCATCTTCAGTAGATCGGTATTTGCCTATATTACAGCAATTACAATTTTTCAACGTGTTCCAGGTACGCCTTTCTGATGAACCTGTCTCCAAGTATAGGACTTTGAGTGTGTCATCCAAAAAAAACTCCACGTTTTACATTATGTAAGCCTGGTAGTGATCAAAGGATTCATTAGATCATTCAATACATCAGTAGATTACTCACATTCGTCTAGAAATATAATTGTGAAAAGGATGTAGTAGTTCGAACTATGAGTTCAGTTTATGTAGTAAGGTCAACTGACTCATATACTATGCATCCATTTCTATCAATACCAAGTGAAATTATCTTCTGCATATGTAAAAACATATTTTGTTTCACATTAAAATGCAGTGCAACTATGAAATGATCAAAATCATCCCCTGGAATAAAAGTGACTCGTCACTATGGAACTCGGACTAATATAACATAAATCCTGATTTATAATCTGCTACCTACTTCATGTTAGGCTGAATAGTATTGATTGGTCACTGCAGAATAACCAGTTTCATGTTACCTAGTTCTGAGTGCTGACCTAGTTGTATCCACCAGTCAGCTTATCGAATCTGCTTCTACAGAAGGCCAATCGTGGTGTGAATAACTCAATGGTAACGTC